TTTTTTTAAAGAAAACTGAGCCTTAACAATTCTGTTTAAATGCAACAGTTTCCTCCACTTTCAAAGCTAGGAGAGAATTTTTATTTTCTTCTGCCTTTGAAAACACAGGTTTCATTCGGCCTCAAGGTGGCGATAAAATTGTGACAGTCGCTTGCTTCCAAGGCTGCATGTACTAAAATTGAATCAATCTGGGTTCTTTCTTCTACTGCTAAGAGAGTTCTTGGTAAAGAATCACAGTGGCATTACTGCTGCAGCTCTCATCACTAAACAACTCTGCATTATTAAACATTGGAAAATAAAAAGTTAAGGGAAGATAAATTCTCAAATACTTTTCCAGTTTGGATTTTCAGAACAGGATTTAAGAAAATATTATCTCCACACCTATACAATATTCCCAAATGCCTCTCACACATATGTATATTATAATTGCCTAATTGGATAGTAATTGTTTATGGCTTTGGTGAATAGCATCTTCTTTAAAGTATAATTCTACATCTATGCTCAAACATACTAAGATGATGTTCAGGACGGAGTGAATAACTAGCAAAATAAACTGATGCTAACCTGAAAATTGAAGAGTTTTCAATGAAAACTACAATTTTCAGGCAAAAAAAATTTAATGTGCATTTATTCTAAGTGATTTTCTACCAAAAAAAAATTGTTTTCCCTAAAAGAGATATCCGATGTACTAAAATGTTCTTTTTCTCTGTAAACACAGAGATCATGAAAACTTAGCCTAAGTGCCACACAGGAAAATGCAGGAAGAAAGAAATTTTTGAGACAGCGGGCAATGTAAGGAAAAGAGTCATCTTTGTACTATAAGACTTATCTAGTGTAAGGATTTTTTCAGGTTAAGTTGATGCTCATTGCTGTGCATTCATGTTTTGGTACTTATTTTCAAGAAGGGCAAGAAGGAAGATACAGTGAACTACAAGCCAGTCAACCGAATTTCAGTGCCAGGGAAATTTATGGAAAAAGTCCTTCTGGAAGACATTTTCAAACTGGGTGGACTTCCCATTGCAAGAGTACCCATAGAAAACACCTGGAAGCTCTGCACAGTCATGGCTACCTAATAGTTGAACTCTCATAGCTGAGCTACTAGAGGTGAATCGTAGAAATGTTTCTGCCATCAGAAATTTTAATGCAACTTTAACACTTTCTCCCTGCAAATAAACGATCAGAGAAATCTAAAATCAATCCTAACTGTGATAACTCAGACTTTCCTGTGCCTTATATATAATTTGCACTGTTTAACATTCACATGACAGTATACCAGAGATAAAGTACAACCTGTATTCTTTCCACATAGAAATGTATTCTCATGTGCAATTCAGTTGCAAAACCCAGATTAACTAAATTTGTTCAAGATTTTGGTAAGCACCAACTGTTCAGAGGAGAGAGCAATTCTGACTACATTGACATGTTCACCCCTACAGATGCTATAATGTATATCTTCATTAAAACAATACACATTTTTTAATAAAAGAACCAGTAACTCAGCCAGTTATGAGCATACAAGCACACAATAAACAAGGCGGCTTTATTTTTATTTTCCTCCTCATTTTAAGAATCCACTACTACAGCAGGGTTTAAATTTACCTGCATGTGTTTTCCAGATCATTGACCGTAATATTGCTCCTTGATCCACCAAACTGGTACATCTGCTAGTCCCTAACCGATTTAACCTCTTCCATACACAAATGTTTGGAAAATCCCATTATGAAGAACCAAATGTTTTCCCCAAAAAGAAGCAGTCAGTACCCACACACAAGCACAATTACATATTAAGTGACTTAAATCTGTTGAGGGCCAACCAGAACCATATTCTGAGCAGACTTGCACACAAAAACCATAACAATCCTATTAACTTTGTAAAATACTTCTTTTATGTGAGTTATAACTCGGTTAAGACCCCATATTTAAGCTATAAACAGCACCTGTATCTTCCAGATTGGAGCAGAGGGACATATTTCAAGCCAATTTGAGCATGAAGGCTATAGAGATCTTACTGTTGATGAAACAAAGCATTTCTGAAGCTTAAATATAGTACTCCACTATTACAATGAAAAGTGATTGGTATGAGCTTTGCAGATACACAGGACAAAAGATGGCATTTTCAGACCAAGAGGATTCAGTCTCCTGAAAAGATAGAATATAAAAATGAAATAGTGAACACAGCACTTGAAAGCTAAGAGGAACTGAAAAGACAGATGAATAGCTGCTTAGAAAGCTATAACAAACCATGGAATGCAAATTACACAAAGACAAAAGATTCAAGAACTTCAAACTAAAGTGAGCCTTGAAGAGAAACTTAATTTATTTAATCCACAGTAAACATAGTTGGCACTGTGGTTCAAATACTGCTCTCCTAATACAGACACAGTAGTCACCCTGGAACATTATTTAAACAGACCTCCAACTGAAGAGGAAAACAACTTCTGCTAGTACACATGCATTATGCTTTGATATTGTGGAGTAAATCCAAATAAACAAGAGTAAAGATGAAAACTGGAAGCACAAATGTCTTACTTCAGTTGTCCTTTGTTTGCTTCTTGGCAAAAATCTCTAGAACAAATTGAGAAGAGGCTTACGGAATGGGGTTTTTTGACGCAAAAATTCGTGGATTTGAACATTACTAAGTTCTACATTTCCATAAAATGGAAAATGTCTATGTATCTATCTTGTTACCATTGAAAGTTGCAATAAAGCTGACCAACTCCATTTTACTTTTTTTTTTAATAAAACGAGTTGTGCCAAATTTTTAAGATTGAGAGCCAAACTTCCTTTATTTCTTGAAAATTGACCAGAGATCCCACCCATAACTCAGAAATCTTTCTTCAAAAATTGATTAGTCTCAACAAAATATTTCAATTTCAATGAAGCAGCATTTTTTCAACACAAAAACAATTCTCTAAAACCATTTCCTCATGCATACTACAGTTAAATTACCTGTATTAGTGTTCCACAATCTCTATTATGGTCCGTTCTACTTCAGCTTCTTTCCTACACAAAGGCGCCTAAAATACTAAGGCTGAAGTATGGCAATGTGTCAGTGAAAGTGTCATTGAAACAGAGAAGAAAGTTGGCTTGTTGAAGCAATCCATTAAGCCTTCCCAAAAGACATTCTAGTATCAGTTGAGCTATATGTGCAGGACAAACAGATACACGCACACGTGTCTGAAGTGCTTTGTACTTCACAGACTGCTTAGACTAATATTATGTGCTTTGGAAATTGTCATGGCAACAATGTATTTCTTTACAAATGGAAACAGTACAGTAAATAGGCATATAAAACCCCTTGTAGCCTGACAATAATGTTGCTTAAGCTTGCATGCCCTCCCTCAATAACAAACAGAAGCAAGGGTGTCAGTGGCATGTGAAAAATCCACACGCGGGGCAAAATCGTGTTAACAGGCCTCTCGCATACCGCTGCACAAGTGAAGGAATCAACGTTTAAGCAGCAAGACTACCTCCTACTCATACTAGGTCGGTAGACTTCGCAGGTGGAGGAATCATCGTGGTGTAGTTCAAGAACAGAGTATTCAGTGAACGCTTTTTGTTAAAGCAGTGCGTAACTTCAGTTGTCTGAACCACACGGCAGGGCGAAACACTAGTTAAAACTGGACAAAATAAACAGATGCCATCCATGTTCTTAGATAAGCATACAACAGTCAAATTTCTTGTCTCTGCTAAAATGAGTTAAGGCACATGGGGTTCAGTTGAAATTGGACTGGCTTGCTGTATTTACTACAGTCTGAGTCTATTATGTGTTGCAAGCAAATAACTGGGAGCGTGTCAGAGAATCCTGTTGTTTTTCTCCATTACTGTGCTAATTTCTCAGGTGAACTGACGCCACCTCTAAGCAAGCTAGCTGTTGGAAAACCATAGCACATCACCGACGTTCTAACACCACTTCCACAACTCCTCTTTCACTTCCCATCTATGCTGATGTAGAACGATGGAAACATTGTTGAGTCCAAAAGTGGAAACATAATTAAATTTTCATCTAAAATTGTCAATATTTTAAATTAATCTTTTACTTTCTAGCTGTTTCTTCTGTAGAATTATTGCTTGTTTAAAGTGAACTTTACATGACTCAGTCATTTCAGACACTTCAAGGAAGTAACCTGAAGGGTCCCTTCTATTGTCTTTTGCAAAAAAATACACATTTTCAGTAAGCAGGGGTTAAAAAAACTTATGCTGACACATTTTCAGTGTCAGATTAAAAAGCAGATTAAAAAGCACATTAAAAAAAAAAAATTTGACAAATATTCCCAAACTTCCTTTCTATCTCCATCTCAGGATCCACTTAATATTATAATAGCCTTAGGAGTAACACTGTATAACATCTTCTACATTGCCAAACCAGATAAGTAAAATGCTGTCTGCAACCTGTCAGGTTTTGTAGAGCTTGTGTCATTTTCCCTCTTTGATATCAGACAAATGATATATATTAACTGTTTTATTGTACTCATCTGTCACTGAAAAAAATCAACTTAATCCAGTATTTCCATGTTCAACTCTACTCTGGAAACAATGAAAAAGACACAGTTCCTGGTTTGAGTACTTCATTCCTCCTTGTCTGCATATAGAGACTTCTGCTTCAAAGACATCAATCATCTGAATGATTAATTTCTCTACTAATCTTGACTGAGATTTAGACTTGGAATGAGCAAAGAACCATAAAATGGATAAGTCTTAGTTAAAATTGTTCCCATGGAAACCAGTGGCAATGCGCTTGCCCCTCCATGGCAGAAGCAGCAACTGCAAGTGAGCACTTCTGAAAATTCTGATTTATCAACCAAGGTACTTTTCTACTGAAAGAATAATATATTCCAACACATGTAAGCAGTGATGGCTTTAAAGCCCTATCCACAGTTCCAAATCTCTAACAATAAACAACTATCCAGCAATCATCTGTATTCAAACTTTAAAATCAAGAAACTCTTGCAGTTTTTCCCAGTCAGAGAGGAAAATAAATACATGGACCATAGTCCTACCTGTGGGTCAGACAGTCGAGAAAGGTCAGGGTACAAGTAGAATTTTATCCCTTCCGAAGCACCTGGTAACGTTACTCCACGAATCAGAAGAATCATCAACATGATATAGGGGAACGTGGCTGTTACATATACAACCTAGGAAGAAGCAGCAAACATTAGAAAAATACTTTCTTCCAACCACAACAAAAACACCTCATTTCCACATCCATTTTGCTATTAGATAAAAAACAAATCCTTTCCTGGAGGAAAAGTGCTTTTGATGCCCTTGTTCATGCAGGTGAATTTTGTCCTCCAAACATATTCTCTTCTAAACTATTTATGTCTTGTAGGAAAGGTCAACGCTTCTTATAGAGAGATTGGGAAGTTCTCCTCAGGTATATTATTTATTCTCTTTGTGACAGGTGACCAGACACTATACTATAGTGTACCTGTTCACTATGCATATAGTGTTCCAAACACAGATACAGGGAAATTGACTCATAATAGCAAGTAATTAATTGCATTATATTATATGTATTCTATAACAACAAACGCAATGAATTCTCAGTCACCTAGTAATTACTAAACTGTCATCTCATAAGACTGCTTTGCCTGCATGCCTGTGTTTGAGGAATAAACATTTCATCAAGCCTAAAGGTTAAATGCTATGTATATCTCTTTGCAATTTGCTATAGTACCCTTATCACGCAAAGCACCTTCAAGCAAGATTTCTGAAGTGCTCAAGCCCAGCAATGTCTGTGTTCACATATATGCCCACATTTTTTTCAGAACTCAGTTTGCTCTGATGCAAATGGGGAGCAACTGAGCTTTTCTGGAAACCTGCAGGTTTTCCAAAGGAAAAATTAAACAGAATTGGTCCCATTTTACAATCACAAACCTGAGAGCAGTATATAGCTATTCAAACTTGGAGATGAATTAAATTATAAATTCCAAGTCACTATAAATATTTCCTTTAAATAATAACATACCTTAAACTTCACTCTCCATAATTCTCTATAGCCATTTCTGCCTGTGCAAAGTAGGTATAAAATATTCTAATATGCAATGATACTCTTATACATCTGCCTTGCACAAGTCAAAATTACTTAACAAGCTGCAAGAATGGGGAAAATCATTTGGTAAAAAATGTAACCTGTAGAGCCCTCAAAAATATGCATTTTAAATTCAAAAGTTCATTACCTGTCTCATGGCTGTGTAAATGAAAGAGATACATCAGAGAATGCACCCATGAAAGGATTCTTAAACACATTTTCATGACTAATGAACTGAATTTTAATTTTCAGACAGTGCTGAGTATTCAACCCCAAACATGAAATCATCTCATGTGTGCCTCAGCTAGTACACTCAGAAATAGAGGAACTTAAAATCACATGGCAGATCTTCGAACGCGTCCAGCTGCCCAAGACATATTTAGATACTTCACTCTCACTGACCTTAACAGGAGATAAGCATCTATATATCTTTCAGGTGTCTTGTACCTTTTGAAAATATAAGCCATGATTTTCCCAGGAAATGGAGACCACCATTATATTCCTATAGGTCTCAGAAGCCTGAATTGATGAATTCATACGTCAATAAAATGCAAAATGGAAAGCTTTATTCCAGTGCTTACATTTATTATCATTGACTATTAGTGGAAACGCAAACTGATACGACTGGCTGAGTTCAAATAGACCTTGTCTCAAAGAGACTGCTCTCCACATTTAGGTTTCAAATAAAAATGGACCATCAGTTAATGAGAAGCAAAAAAAAGGAACACACGGAATGGACGTGGTCCTGATCTGAGTGTTATATTGGGTGGAAGGGACAGAGTAGCCAGCAACTGGTTTTCATGTTTCTGTATTTAATTCTTTGCCAGCTATTTTTCTCTACTTCTTTTAAATCAATAGTTGCTTTTAATAGAGGATAGTCAGCAAACATATACATTTGATGGCATGGAAGGTATTGCATCTGAATATCTGTTATAACATTAAAGAATAACATTTCATTGCATCATGCTTCATAACTATACTGGTTCGCAGCCTGCTGTCTTGCGCATCCTGCCACTGCCTTGAAACATTTTACATCAGTAAACAGATTGCAATTTTGTCATTTTTGTAGAGGCAGATTTCTTCCCAGGTTCTTTTGGGTGTATTTCCTCACTCAGCTCCATCAAGGGAGAGCTGAAACCACTCATCTTTATGCCCAAGAGAGGTAAGGTAAAGGTACTCTTGAACAGTAGTCTGCAATCCCGCAGTAGCCATCCAGGCTTGTAGAGCTACACTTCATAGTTTTCTGTTTGCTTTTCTGAATGCCTTCCACAGCCCATCCACACGTCTTAACATTATTGGTTCTAGTACCACAACCTCTAGCATACTTTTTTATCATGAGGATAGTTGTGTCCCAGCTTTAGAGGAATGACAACTTCCTTTCTGGTTACCATGCAGAAAGAGGATATAAATAGAGTGCAACTGGCTCAGTATTTCTGGCAATAAATACTAATACAGATATCCAGAACAACAATGAAAAAGATACCAAGTAAGCACGTGTGGTAAAGATACACCCTTCCTGAGCCAATTGACATTGTTGACAATTTTTCAGTGTTAGTGCCCATACAGCTAATGAGGCTGCTAAAACTGCAAGTTTCTCTTGTACTGCAACAGGTACGTGTATTTTTTCAGAGAGGTGAGAGAAGGCCACCGCTTGTAGGTGGCGTTCAAGTCTCCCAGTACGTTGAGCCACTTAGTTCCACTGCATCCAGTGCATCAGTTGCTCATTTTATCATGCTTCTCGAGAGCTCATGAGGTGAGGGAGGATGGGGCATTTTAGAAATCAAATGCCATTATTAGTATCATCATCACATCAGTAAGCATTAGAAGTTTCCTGAATTGTTTTCTTTTCTTTCAACACATCAAACCTCTCTGAATATAAATGTGAACACAACTGTTTCTAATTACACTGCATCCTGTTTTAATTGACTTTAATTGCTTGGTATGTTAATTTGCATTCCAATGCTCAAAATGCTTTTTTTAAACCCTTGTCAGAGCAATGCCAGTGTTTAAGCAGTTCGAACAAAATAAAAATTTCTGGCATGCTAGTTTTTGCACCAAGTTCTCCTATTACAATATAATTGAAAGACAAATTTACAAAGACATTTAGACATAGAAGTATGTGGAAAGGCACCTACTGGGACCTCTAACAGCTCTTACGCACACCTAGGTGCTTAACTAAAAGTACATTAGGACCAAAGATCCTGAGAATAGATATGCCATGAACTTTAGGTTTTGGAAGTAAGTTAAGTACCAAGTACCGGAACTTTAAATACCAAAACCCTAAAAGACTTAGATATCTCTATCACTCAAGGTTAGTTATAAAGATATCTAGGTATCTAGGCAATGATTTCATGAGTAAGGCACTATAAAGATCTTGAGAACTGAACTAGCTGCCAGTTTGCATTTTTTCATACCTAAGTATCTTTCAAGTGCAAATATGGTGCAGAGGTTCAAATTTGGCTACTGGGACTGTTGAACTTCTTGTCCTAAATGAAAAGGTGCTTTTCTGAACAGTCTGGCCACCTCATGCCGAAGAGATTCAAGTGAAGGTGACTTGGCTTGTAAGAAAATGTAGAAGAAATACATAATAAATCTGTTGAGAATAAGGAAGAAGCCCTGCATGCAATGAATTGAGCCACACACCCACAGAAATCTAAAAGCCTAAAAATATATTTCTCTGGCTACAGCTACTACAGAACACACCAGCCTGATACTTGCACCCTACCTCACAGCAGCTTCTTAGTAGGGCAAGTCATGAATAGGAAGTAGTGAACTTTAATCCTTTACTTGGCTCTTGCTGAGAACATAACTAAACTAGAATTCAATTAACAAAATATAACTTTCTGAGGCTAGGAAGTTGAGGGAATTCTGTCCTGCAAGCTTGTTTGCACTATAATGAACCAATTGCATTTTATAAGTTGAACAAAAGTATTTAATTTTACTTGATTCTTCAGAAAATTACTGGCTTGCTAATCCCCGTCCCCTAAAGTCCTCTATTGCTCCATTGGGCTACAAACACAAGTAGTATCAATGCAAGAATTGCCAGCAATTTGCCCAAACTCAGCATTTGAAGAGTTATATGGAAAATAAGACCTGACCTCATGCCTGCTCATCCTTATCTTTCATTTAGTGTTTTCAGCCTATTGGCTAGTCATTTAGCCTATTTATCTAGCAGATGCTGTGATCACAGAAAACTAGAGTGACACCACCCACTTCCTTTGTTAAGAGGAGACTGCTGAACAAGCTTCAGATCTCAGTGACATACAAGGCTTGTCTACACAGGACAAAAAATTATGCCCACACTGCACTACCCTCCTGTGTGGAGAAACAGCTTGGGAACCAAAATTTCACTGCCTGAGTGATGTGACAGGGAAAAGAGTAATTTTTATCCTGCTTTACAGTGTTGATGCCGAAGGTCATATCAGTACGACTAGAGAAACATAATTATCTTACCACTGTCTGGGCAGCTCTGGTGTCTTTGTAGAGACACCCAGGTATTACCAATTTGGGCATGATTTCGATCAAAATTTAAAAAAAAAAAGTTCTACATGCCAGTTACCACAGCCATCCTGGCTCTACTAATACTTCTCCAGTTTCACAAATTCTATCTTCCTAGATGTTAACAGCAGGTGATAACAGTGTAAAAGACTTTCTTTTTCAACCACCATGGTATACTGTGAAATTTTCCATACAGTATTGTTTGGAAAAGAGTCTTTCCTTATATGACACTATAGCATCTACGGACATACAAATGACAACTGAAAAGAGATATTTTCAACATTAATTGGATTTACAAGAAAAATGGTATAAAACAGTATAAAGGAATGACAGCTGATTCACAAGTTTTCAAACAGTATGTCAAAAGGGAGGAAAAAATTTCTAGATCCGCCTACATTTTAAAGCTAAAATTTCATATGCAGAAAAAGAAACTAAATCAAAAACCCAGCAAAATACCAGAGGAGTAGATTTGTATGATGTATGATTGGGATGGTCGGGGGGAGATAGAATCAGCAAAATGGCTGATTTTTCTATTTTCTCTGTGTGTTTTATAGATTTATTCAGCATCATCTGCTATTTGTCTTGTTTGTTTATCCACAGAGGGCA